GGTTAGAGGAGAAGAAGAAATGGTAAAGAGAGAGATAATTATGCCAGCAATATATAGTTGCTCTTTGGCTTTCCATGTCTTACATCGCACAGGATCCTGAAAATGCTGGGGTCAGACCTGGGAAATGTGCTGCAGGACAAACACTTCCAGCTGTTCCTCTGAAAGCAAGTCTCAGCAAGTACCTTCTAGGCAGGAATGTGTGGCCTTACTTATTTAGGAAAAGGGAAAAATCTCACCATTTTAAGCCTTCAGCATTCACCTTCATAATTAAAATCTCTAATCGCAAGCAGAGTGCAATACGTGACAGTCTTCAGGGAGCTGTTTCTTAAGGTGGTTTTCCATTTTTGCGCTCTTTAGCCCCTGCCTCAGTGCCAGGGTTTATTTAACCTTAAGCTTGTGAACGGGCTTATTGAATTTGGCCAAGACTTGACTAATCTGTAATGAGCTCCAGGTTGCCTGGAACTTGGCAGCACCATCATCCTCTGTGCCGTTGCATAATGGCCTGACCTCGCGTAACCACGGCTTTGCCTCATGCCCCTTCTTCAACCTCCTTGAGCCTGCTCTGAAAACCTGGGCTCCATGGAGGGGCCACCCTGCTAAGGGGTGTCCTGAGTGCTGAAAACCTCCTCAGCTGCTTTCATCCTTTTCCATGGGGTGAGAGGTGGCAGAAAGTGCAAGAAAGCCTCAAAGCTGGAAACCAGCTGGTGTGAATGGGGAATTCAGTGGTGGCAACCAGGTGAAGGCCAGTACGTCCTCCCAAGCACCTGTGGTGGCTGGGGAATGTGAGAATCCTGGCCACCCTCCTTCTCCTCCTCTCTCTCCAACTGCATCAGGCTGATCTGCAGTCCATTGGTGACCCCTGTGCTTGTGAATGGAGGATGCTCATCCTGGAAGCTCTTCCATTTGAAACTTGCTAGGTATTTTTTATTGTTAATTCATCATTTTAATAAGGGCAACTGGAAGGACTTATTTTGTCAGAAATCACAGGAATAATTCAGATGTTGCTCTAAGTCAATTTTTTCCCCTCTTATTTACTTCAGCTCCACCACTTGAGAAACCCGTTATTTACCTGCTCTTTATTGAGTATCCAATGATGAAAATAAATTGATACCATCTTTACTGTGCATTTCCCATAAGGTTGGTATGGCACAGAGAAAGAACTGGTTTATTTTCCTTCTAGCATGAACCTGGCAAGACTGTTTTATAGCCCTTCAGCTCCAGCCCTCTGCAAGCCAGCTGAGAGCAGGATCATTAAAGGCAGGATTTAGAGGCTGTGGGCTTGCATATATATTAATTGGGAGCAAAGTTTGTCAGACAAACACTTTGTAATGAGCGAGGAGGAAGGCATCTGGCCTGGATCTCAGGTACCCAGCAGTAAGCTGGAGGAAAAAATCCTCTTGCAAAAAATAAGAAGAATTAAAAAAATTAGTAAAATGATCTTGCCTTGTTTGGAGATCAGAGTGCCAAATATAGACCCTATCACATTTCCTTCCCTCCTCCTTCCGAAGCTCGTCCTTTTGAAGTGCACTTTCAATGGGATGTGGATAATTGACTCTGTGAACAACTGGCTGACTGCTCTGTTGGTTTAACCGATTGGTCTCAGTTGCTGATTCCTGTTTTGTTTTGGATGATTTTCAGCTCAATTGCCCCGTCAGCTACAATTAGTCCCACTAATATGACAGCTGGAAGGTAACAGATGAGTCGCTCTGGTCACAGGCATGGGGACAGCCAGGAGATACTCACAGCGTGGTGTTCTCAGCTCCATGGTCCTGTGCTGAAGCTTGCTTAAATCAATGGCAGTTGCAAATCCTGGTGTAAAACGGTTCAAAAGGGATGTGAGATTTGTTTCTCACACAGATAGGGTGACTGACTGAGGAATAAGGTAGCAATAGCTTTTGGATGGTTGCAAATAACTTTTGGATGAATTTTAATTTAATGAGACAAGAAAGCTCCTGGTTCTGTATAAAGGGAAATGTGGAGTGCCTGGGCTTCCTCTCGCACACCAGAGCATCAAGGAAAGGAAGCAGAAGTGGGATAGAGTTGTAGGTACATCCTGTGGCTCTTTCAACAAATCCACACTGTTGTTTTCTGTGGTTCCCGTGATATCTGCCATTGTTTTGGGCTTTGTTTCTTCTACCCACAATTTATATTTGGGGGACTAAAGTGGGAAAGGCAGCAGCAGACAAATGGATGGAGGACAAGGGATCATTTGGCTTCTTAAATTAATAGGAGATAGATGCATGGAGGTGCAGGTTAGATGTTGGACTCTTGGCCATGGTATGGCCAAAATGATATCACAGAAAATGTAGTCTGGTTGTATAATTGGAGACTTGAGGTACCCAAAGGGCCTAGGTCAGCCCATTGTTGAATTTATGTAGTCCCAAAAGCCATTTGGAAGGCCAGAGTTGAAGATGGTTCACTCGTGAAGCAAGATGGTGTGCCTGATGAGGTTCTGCAAGGGTCTGATATGGTTATTTGGCACTTCCTTTAACTGCCAAGGTGATGGAAAGGAGAATATGCAGATTCAATTTGCAGGTGACCCCCAGCTGGGAAGGGCTCCCAGCAGCCTCACTGAGGAGGTCAGACTTCCAGATGACCTCACACAAGCTGGGGAAGGTGATGTGAAAAGGGTGATTTGTGGGCTGATGAAGACAAAGTCCTACAGCCTGGCAGAAACTATCAACTATGCCAGTGCAGGATGGGACTGTTTCCAGTAGGTGAAAAGATGGTGTCAAAAAATGCAAGTAGCTTATGGACCAGGCAAGAAATAGCATCATGAACTGCAGACAGGGTGATTTGGGTTAGACAGCAGGGAAAACTGAAATGATAGGGATGGGGAAAATATGAGAGTAAACCACCAAGAGAGGCTAGAGTCCACTTCACAGGAGATTTAAGAATTGGTGGGGCAAACCTTCATCAAGGGTAACAGATATATTTGTTCCGGCTGCTACAGAGCACAGGTTGGAGAAGGTCTGCAAATCTCCTTGGGGTGAGATGAGTATTTTGCCCACTCCTTTTGTTTCATTAATGAAACATTAACATTTCTATGAGGAGCACATGCTTTCTGAAAAAACTCTTGGCCAAACTTCTCTTCAAGCAGCTTGATGGGAGCTTTGCAGGCAGCCCATGTGCCATGCTATTGTGTGCATGAATTCCAGTTGAAGGAGCTCAGGTCTGGTCTAATAGGAGCATACAGCCTACACAAATCTCCCCTTTATTTCTCTAGAAGCTGTGCTTTCTGTGGACATCTGTAACCAGAGATCAGTGTGTTGCGCTGAGCTTATTCCCTTTAAATCTCGTGTGGGACTTGTTCCCAATGAAGATAGCTGGTGCTTTTAAAAAGCCTAGCAGCAGGAGACCTCTTCTATCAGTGTGTTTCCATCCATGTTTGGGCAACACAATGAATGCAGATGTAGTAGGAAACTTTTGATTATCTATAGGTTTTTTTTTTTTCTGTGGCAACTTCAAAGCTCTGTGGTTAGTTATATTCTGAGACTTTAAATGGATATGTCTTGCGTTCAGAGCTCTGATTTAGTTTCCGGTTTAATCTATTGTCCAAACATCATTAATGTTGTCTTTGAGGCATGGGACAGCTTTGATGGAGTCTTTTTTTTTAATTTCTGGCCATCACCCCGTGCAGCCATAAACAGCATCCTGCCTGCTAATGAGAAAATTCAAGTTACTGCAGTCACGTGTCTTGTGGAAATAGACTGGAGTGGCAGGAGAGAAAAATGAACTGACTTTGCTCACCTTCCACCCCCAGCTGGCACGAGCATTTGGATTACTGACAGGCAGGAGATGTTTCCACAGATAGAGATACACCATTAAAAAGCAGGGACATCTGTTGAAAAGGAAATAATTCTTTTCATAGACGTATCATGAATTCCTTAATTCCTGCTTTTATGAGTTACGTTTTCTGGCTATAAGCATCTATACCCATTCCTGATTAATGCCCAGTTAGCATGTCAGGTGTTGGGCTCAGCTACTCCTAACAAATCGAGGTTTGTGGAAGAATTTGGCTTGTCTTTCTAGCGAAAAATGAGGGATCAGAATCCTCCGTTACATACCCAGTAAACCAGTTTCAAGATGTTGATAGCCTACACATTGCTTTCCCCATCTTCTGTAAAACTTTTTATTTGGAAAGTAAAGCTTGTGTGTGTATGTGACCTTGGAAACACCTGGCAGAAGCTGGTCAAGTTCTTGGTATTTACTCCTTGTTGCGCCGTGACAAATGTTTGCCAAAGATTTAGGAGGGGGGCAGCTGGTCATGATGCACAGCCCCATGTTGAGTTGAGTCCTGGTTTGGGGATAATAATGCAGCAACAAGTGGCAGTGAGAAGTTTTAGAGCACTTTATTCCTTCTTCATTGGGAAACCCATCTTGTTGGGGACAGCCTGCCCTGCAACAAGCTGGCGTTACTGGCTCTGGCCTCATTGACAACCAGTGTATAAGGTGAGTGTGTTGGTAGCAGCTTCACAGCGTGGGCCCATCTCAGGTCTTGTCTGTACAGGAGCTTGACTGGCAGAAACACAGGATTGGGATATGATGTGAGGGCTTGCTCAGGGATGCAGTTGTCTTACGGCTGCGTAATTTTGCTCTGTTTGGAAAGAGGATTAAAGTGGCATGGATAATGAGTATAAATACTAGCTGATCACCACAATGGACAGGTTTTACAAGAAGCTGTCCTGCTTGCTTGCAGCCAGAGCTGGGTGTGATCCATGTTCTGGCTTGGTGAGAGCTGCCCAGCCTGGTGGTGCCTCTTGAAGTGCTGGCCTGCATTGTGGCACCTTTCTATGGCATTTGCACCCTTGTAACCACACTGACCTCTTGTCTGCCTTCTCCCTCCACCAAATAAGTTGACGACATTCATCCTCTCAGTCTGTCCCAGGAAACAGCCACTGGTGTTGCATATGTGTAGAGGGTGGGTGATTGCCAAGAGCAGGCTGGAGGATCTCCTGCACTCCCTGTGGTTTCTCCTCTCACCCTGTGTGTCTTTGCAGAACATGGCTTCGTTGGCTACTCTGAAGAGCTTATGTTCAACAACACGCTGCCAGACTACAGCCAGGGAGAGTCCTTCTTCACAGTTTTTGGAGTGTTTTTCCCAGCTGCCACAGGTACAGTTAAGTTTTATCCTCCCCCTCTTTCCCTCCACTGTCACACCTTGGAAATGAGCAGAAGCAAAGGCAAGGTGAGTGGGATGGTACTTGGCCATAGCAGACTCATGTGGTTGGTAAAAAATGCTCAGACTTTCCTCCAGCACTTCAAATTTTACCCAGTCTTGTTCTGTTCACTTGAATGTGCTCTTCTGTCTCTCTGTCGTCGGAAACTGCTGGACAACGCTATGGGTTGATGGAGTGGTATAAATCCTTCCCTGCCAAGGAAAAGGCTCAGGCACTGGTCTGAGCCAATGCTATCAGGCCACAGGGTATCCAGCCTTTGTAAAAAGACTGATTTATCTTATTAGATAAGCCTTATGACTTGATTGCACTGGGAGGGTAGGAAGAGCACAGGAGGGCTTTCCTTACCACAGGCAGATGGCCAGGCTGGGCTGATGCCATTGCTCATGGTACTGACCCACCACTCTGCACGGTGTCACAGATGCATCTTTGCATGGTAGCAGAGCTCACGTTTATCATCTTAATTGAATACTTTCATATTATTCATTCCCTTAAATTACTGGGAAGATCCATGTCCACTTTCCAAAGCTGGCAATCTCCAGTGGGAATAAAATAACTATTAACTGAAGTTAATATCTTTTGTTGATGCTGTTTTTAAGCTATAAAAAGTACCAATTATAAGCAGTTTCCATAGCAATGAATCATTGGATTACAGAATGAATTTTCAGAGGATTACCTCTAAGCAACTCAGTGGAAGTTGTTCATAGAATTATGGTACAGAGAGACAAAATAAAGGGTTTTGTGAAACAGATGGGACTGATGGCAGAAATCATCGTCAGATGCATCCAGTGCAGGACTTCAAATTTTCCTTTGAAATCCTCTCTCCCAGCTTATGAGGCTGGCTATTGCCTTGCTGTAGACATCCTCCTGGAAAACTCACCTGCTTGAACTATTGGCACCATGGAGAAGTTGCTTTGTTCTTTCTACCTGGCCCAAGCGAGTCCCCCAGCCAAAGAAAGAGACTTTTCTCATGAGCCCTCCCTGTGATGCAGGAAAGCAGTTTTTTTCCAGCTCCCTGGTTATAGAAGAGGCATAGTTATGACAAAGCTGTGCAGAAAATTGCAATGATTAGCCATGTTAAATGGTTCTTTATCACTGCTAATGCTTGGCTGCTAGGAAGAATGCCAAAGCTAATAGATATAATTTATTTAAAGCCCTGGCAGCCTGTTGCTTTGTTAGTTAGCAGTAGTAATACCAGTAGTAATGTTAAACATTCTCTGAAAATAAAGTTTGGGTTGATGTATAATTACTTTGGTTGCTACACAGCTTTTTCATGTGTACTTTTTAATTGCTTGGTTATTTAAGCGATTTAAGTTATTCCTTTGGAATAGCAGTGCCAGTGGTACTATATAACATTGCTATTGCTCTCGTTCTGCTGTTTGTAGCGCTGTGGAGTTCAGGAGCCTCATAAAACACAGGGTTGTGTTCAGTGCTCTATCTGGAAGAACTTGTGATGTGCTTAAGAAATATTTATGGTGGGCATCAAGACTTCTGTGCTGCAGATCACAACTGGGGAGCCCAGTGCAATTTCAGCAGCTCTGGGAATAAAGCTCACAACTCCCAGGGCTGGGACAATGGGTGAGGGCTGGTTCCCCCATATCCCTCCTGACCCAGGCTGGTTTAGTTTGCCTTCTTCTCCACGATGGGGGTGTGATGCTAGGGCTGAAGATGGGACCCTTGGTTTCTCAATGTCCCACATGCTGGAGCAGAGCTGCTTCCCACTGCATTGCAGGTGCTGCCTGGATGCAGCCCGAGCCCGCCAGCAGGACAGGTGGTCCATGAGATTGAAGATGACACTTTAGGGATAGGTTTGGCAGTGGAATTAATAGCAGGCTGGAGAGATGTGATAGGATTGCCAGTGCCTCTGGTGGAGGGCAGGCAGCGTGATACAGATTGTGAGCAAGCGGCTGTGTCAGACTCCAACAACTCCACATGAAAGGGGGTGGCAGGGACATGTGAACATCACTCCCAGGTTATCACCTCCAGCTTGTGCTCCTGCTCCTCCCCAGCACCATCCCCAAGTGGTACCTATCTGCTGAAACCCCTGCAGTGACCCATCTGGAGCACTGGAAGTGAAATCCTTTGTGTTAACAGAAATTTGGGGAGAATTTCAGCAAAACAATGTTGTTTAGTTTTAAGGGGTTACTTCAAGCCAGTTTGAAACATTTCTTTGACCCCAAAAACCATTCTATCTGTAATAAATAAATGTTCTGTTTACTCTTCTTAATTTTTAGCATATGCTAGTTTACAATCTAAGATGCTGTTTTGATAAGAAAGGTTTTTTTTTTTAAAATGTTTAGGAAATTGTGAAACAAGATGTTTGGGTCTTTTTGGTATGAAATGTTCCTCTTTGAAGTGAAACTCTTTTGATCGCTTTGGGGTAAGCTCTTTCCCTTTGATATGGTTATCTGAATGGAATTGATCTAAGTTTGGTCTCTGGGATGTACTGAAAAGTGGGTTTAAGTTGCCCTTTTCCACCAGAAATAGCAGTGAAAGGGAAACTACGGAAATACTGGCTAGTAGCTGTAAAAGCAAAGAGGGGCAGCCACTTCAGGAAAAGGGAGCAGGACCTGAGGAGAGACCCTTGACAGACTGAATGGGCAGGAGGAGCAGCTGAGTGTGCTTCAGCTGCAGGGAATGGGATGGTCTTGCCAGCCTTTCAAAGGCCGGTAGCAACATGCTGCCTCTTATGAGCATCCTCCTTGGATTGCTTTACTCCAGGTTGAGTTGCTTCCTCTGTTTCTCTGTATTTTATTGGTACAACTCCAGCAACACAAGTGAAGTTATCCCAGTTTTATGGTGGAGCAGTAGTAAGCAGAGGCTGATCTGTTTGCTTCCTGGGTAATAGCTGTTTAAGCCATTTCAGCTGGATATGCAGTGTAGCTGGCTTTATTCCTTCAAGTTTGTAATTTAATAATCAAGAAGTAGCTGAGCATTCCAAAACATACCTCTAGAGCTGGTTTAAACGGGAGAGAATGGGCATGGAAGACTTGTATTTGCTGTCTTCTATCAAAAAGACTTTTTGATGTGAACATAACCCCTATAGAGATTCCGTGCATTAACCAGATGTTTTCCTTTGTGTTTGTAAACACCTTCTTGATGCACATGCTTTGCTGCTGCACTGTGATATGCAAACAGCCAGCTGCCCATCTAACCAGGGCTTTGCATGGGGAAGGAGTCTTGGGAGCTGCCTGCCCATGTTCACCTCCTAGCAGCAGCCATGCAACTGTCAATGCACTTTTAAAATGAAGTCACACGTTGTTTCTGTTGTGCAGAGAATGTTTTTCTACTAAATCCCTGAGGTTTCCTGTCTAATGAAAGGAGTGTGTTGTCATGTGATACAAGAAAGTAAGATGATGTTTGAAGTGGTGTTAGTGGAAAATATCAGTGTTCTGAAACCAGTTCTGAAATAAACTGTATTTGGCATTCGCAAAATGACAGCAAATGGATTTAGAAGTTTTCGGCTAAGCTATTAGATGATGTAAACTGGCACAACTCCATTGAAGTCAATGGAAAGCTGCCAGTTTACATCAGTGGAGAATGTGGCCCTTTAAAAAAATTAGCTACAATTCTTATCTAAGATTTTCCATTCTTCATGTCTTGGGTGAATTAAAAAAAGAAAACAAACCCAAAACTTTAACATTTTATAGCAAATTCACTGGAAAACGCGTTGGCTGTTTGTAGGTAGTCATATCTACAGTTATAAACCATGGCTGGTGGAGTTAGAAGCCAGAGCTGGTGGTGATGGTTGTGCCTAATGTACAGTGTAGGTGGTCCCCTTGTGCACGTATCCAGCCCCTGGATGATGCCGAGGACTGGATTATGCTGGGAATAGCAGCAATGTAGAGACTGTCTCAGCTATAATTTCCTGGCTGAGTTGACGATTTTTTCATGCTTCCTTGTCCAGAAGCTTTGTCATTATCTGCTGCTGTCTGAGATAATAGTGTGGAAAATCCAGCCTCCTATCTCATTGAAACAGAGAGGTGGATAATTTTCTCTGTGGACAACCTGCAGATATGATTGCTTGAGCTCAGAATAGACTGGCCATTTCCCTAGGGAAAGGTCTGTGTCTGGAGGAAGGAATGTCCCAGCTTCTCTGCGTCATTGAATTTTATATGGAAGTGTAGGGTTTTTCTTCTGTTGAGTAGCTCGAGTCTCTGGAAAGGCTGTTTGTGGCTGCTCACAAGCCAGATTGGTTCTTTGGCAGTTGGTGGCAGAGGCTATGGATCGTGAAGATTGCTTTGTTTTGTTTGAAAACTAACCAGGTTGTCCTTTCATTGAAAAGTGGGGTGGACAGTGTGCTGCACACAAAAGACCTGGTCAGTACTGCTCTTTGACAGCTCTCATCATGTCTGGAGAATTACTTTTTGAGAGGTGGTGGACAGGTGGCTTTGGCATTGTCCATGCATCTGTACTGTGAGATTGTCCATGCTTTTGCACTGATTGAATTAGAGATGAACTTGCAACACAGAGAAGATGGCTTTGGCCTGAGTGACTGAGAAATCTGTGTTGGTTCCCTCTGTGGTGGCCTTGGACTTTGGCAATGGAAGCCTCTGATCTGGAGATGCTGACAGAAGCTAATGGTGTGCACTGGCCTGGGTCTGACCCCTAGCTGCTGCCAGGCAGGAGGTCAGGCACTGGTGTCAAGATCCTGTTTATGAGGGCTCTGGCAAGTGATCTCCTGGCTGCTCCTGAATACACGTGGGTCTGTGGAGGGAGGCACTGAGGCGGACTGGGCTGTGCAGTCACCGCTATGCTGATGACTCACATGTCTTTAGCTTTTTTCATATCCAGTTCAGCAAACCCCATTTTGGTGTTTCCCCTGCACTTTGCTGAGCAAGGAGATTGAATGAGGAAGAGGTGAATCAAGCTCAAGCTGGAAGATTCAGAGGTGGTGCTAGATGTTTGGGAAACTTGGCCAAGAGGTACATGAGATTAATAGCAGTCCTGACAATAGTTTGCACCCTTTGAAAGAAAAATTCAGAGTATTCTTAGCTTTCTGCTTTGCCCCTGAATTGCAAAGTAGCATGCCAAGAGTGCTTCTTAGAGACTTCATGTAGCATGATGTTTGTGACCATTTCCACCAACTTCTGCCTTCCTGACTTTTCTCACTTCCAGCTAAGCCTATTGTGTAGCTGTTTAAGAGAAGCAGTGCTTGGAAGCTTTATCTGCGGAAAAGCACACCAATTGACAGGCTTTTAGCAGGGCTGTTCAGAAGTACATCCATACAGTAGTCTTCCAGGAGAAAATTAAGGGCTCATTTTGATTTGTAATGTTTTCAATATGGTATCAAGGATTTCAATCTGCTCTGAATCTGGCAAACAGCTCTTCCAGGAGCTGAGGAGTGCCGGGGCCATGGGGACTGGCGAGTAGCTGTTGGGGCTCTGGCTCTGTGGTGGAGAAGAGGACAGCAAAAGATGTCTGCTGAATGGAATGATCAAGGGGGGAAAGAAAAGATCAAAGAAAAAATGTTAATAATGAATAAATAAAGACTTGGATGCTTAGCCAATGTGTTTGGCAATATGTGAGTACCTTGTGCTCATTAACTGGCTCTTCTCATGGCAGCACAGTGAGGAGAGGAAGTGTTAAAATTTCCATCAAGCAGACAAGGAGATGGAGCTGTAAAGATGCACAGCAACACCTGGGATAGAGCAGGGAGATGAGCAACCCAGTTGTTGCTCCCTATTGTCAGTCTATCAGTAACCATGGTCTGTAGGGAAGGATCCATCTGGCTGGGCTGGGTTTGCCCCCTTTATTCTGGGATTTATCCCATGGCTCCCTTCTACCCTTTGTCAAGGGAGAAAACTCTTCCAAGCAGCAATCAATGAGCTTTAAAATGCAATGGGGTGTTGCTGCTTTAGAGATGTTGTCACTCAGATGTGCCGCCTGGGAGCCTTCATCAGTCTTGTGCCCTCTGAAAATGAGGGATGACTGCTGGACTTGGCAGCTGAGTGGCAGAACGGTGTGCGGTTGGTTCCCTGCTGCCATGGCTGGCAGATGCTGCGAGTGCCGTGGTGCTGGCGTCCTTCTTCTCATTGTTGTTCTGTGGTGATCTCACCCCGGCTCCCAGGGACCATCCCATGAGCGCTGCTGGCTGGCACCTGGCCCATACGCCTTTATAAAGATGTTAGTCTGACATCTGAGGGGTGAGATAGCAATGGACAGAAGTTAATGTCTTAAAAAGACTCTTCTGTCCTGACTTCTAATTGTCCAAATTCTCATCAGGATTCCAAATCACAGATTTTTATTTTATTTTATTTTATTGTATTGTATTGTATTGTATTATTTATAGCAGGTATCTGAAGTCTTCTAGGAAAAGTTTTCAGGTAATGTGACAAGAAAAGTTGTGTTTTCTTGGCAAATCTGGTATGACTCCTCCTTTAAGTACGGGCAAAGCCTCACAACCAGTTTGTACCTTGGGTTCCTAGCCTCAATATGGAGACTGTAATCCATTGCTTCATCCTGTTTCCCTTTCTTGCATCTTAGATGGCAATTTTTTAGGTTAAGGACCATTCCTGATTGTACAATACCCTGCACTCTGGCCAAAAATAACAGTTCAGTACTTTATTCTTAGTCCTACCATGTTTTCTACATGTTGCTGGGACAATCACTCGCCCTCTCAGCGCTTCTTTTTCCTATCTGCAAAGTAGAGATAATGCCTACTTCCAAAGCAGATCCCTTGGCTGGAAGGTGCCACCTACGTGCTGAGCACTGTTATTCCCTCTGCTAAATGTGCATGTGATAGTCATTAAGCACAGACAGGCCAGGCCATTTTGTAATGGTGGTTGTCCCCCATGAATGCAGGGAACTGTAATGGATCTGGTCTGGAGGGGGGTGGTACCACCTGCTGAATGCACTGCTGTGATGAACAGTAGCATTTATCTTTTCAACAATTAGGCAGCACTGTCTTCTGTGAGGTTTGCACTAAGATAAGATGGGTTTTGTTCTGCTTCCACCCAGCATTGTTCAAACTGGACAAAGGGTTCTTTGTAGATGTGGTATTGGTGCCTTGCTTCAAAGACATGAACAGTTTCTTACCAAGCATCAATGGAGACCAGTATTTGTGTGTACGGCAGTGCAATGAAGTGATACTGTTACTGGTTAATCAGTTAACTGATTGATTAAATTATATGACATATTGTAATACCTATTATATATGCTATAACTTAGATTAAATTGCATCTATACAGGTGTGATGGCTGGGTTCAATATGAGTGGAGATCTCCAGAAGCCTGCTACCAACATCCCCCTGGGGTCTCTGGCTGCCATTGGCACCTCGTAAGTCATTAACTGGGAAAAATTTACTCTTTGGAGACTGCTCTGGATGTGACCAATCTATTTCATATTCCCATCAGCCTATTATTACTAAGCCATCTGGAAAATTAAAGGCTGGCTGTCATTCAAACTGTTATCCATTACAACCACCTACTCTGGGTGGGTTAGAGAAGAGGTTCGCTAATGCAGATGTAATCAGTCTTTCCTTTGCTGGGTGGGATCTGTGTTGCTGCTAGAGCAGTTGTGCTGCTGCAGCCTGGCTGTCCCAGAACAGGATCAAAGTTCTTAAAGGCCTGGGGTGTGTGATTTTGTCACTTACTACTGTTCATTTTGAAGTGCTTTATTTTTCTATATAAATAGAAAATAATAAAAAAATAAAAAATGCAATTTTTATGGGAAAATGAGGCCAAGACAGGTGAAATGACCCTACAAGGCCAGAGGAGTGCAGGAGCCCTTCATCCCCAAGCAGTTCTCTTCCCAGGAAATTCTGCTTTCCAGGGGTAAAATACTGTTACATATTAAAAAAAACCCACAAACCTCAGTAGGTTTTCCTGACTGTTTTCATTGCCGCCTTAATTGCTTTCGAAATTATTACTTTTAATTGTGTACCAAGGTTTAGACAGAAAGGATCTTCACAATTTAGAGGGATTCCTGACAAAATTGGTGCTTGTTTGAAGTGAAGGGATTCTGTAGGACACAGAAGTATCACAGATGGAGGGACTGTGGCCATTTACATCTTTGCTGTCTAGGCTTTGCAGACAGACTGGATTATCCCTTCCCCTGAGTACTGGAAAGGCCAGGGACACCAGAAGAGGATCATGGCTGGGGTTGTAGAGCAGGCTGGCTGCAGTGTTTAATGTTACTGCCAGATGAGGGGATCACTGTACCTGCACAATCAGAACGGTTTGGGTTGGAAAGGAGCTTTCAAGGTCATCTAGTCCAACCCCCCTGCAATGAGCAGGGACATCTTCAACTAGATCAGGTTGCTCAGAACCCTGTCCAGCTTGACCTTGCATGTCTTCAGGAATGGGGCATCTGCTGCCTTTCTGGGCAACCTGTGCCAGTGTTGCACTATCCCCATCATAAAAAATTTCTTATGTCTAGTCCGAATCTACCCTCTTACAGTTTAAAAACATTACTCCTACAGGCCCTATCAAAAAAGTCTGTCCCCAGGACTGGGTTATTCTCCCCCCCCCCCCCCCCCCCCAGCAATAGCTCAGGTAGCTTCCCCTCAAGGGTACTGTAAGGTCATGCTGCAACTGTTCCTGGTATATTGTAGTGGGTAAGAAACATGGACTGGTGTTAAATTTATCCCTGAGGCTAAATAGTGCAGGAACAGCCCATGCAGAGTGATTGAAGACACAGCCTGCTGCTACTTGACTGTTTCCTGTCTCTGCTGATGAGCAGAAATACCAATGGTCTTGTCTTACTGGAAAAAAAAAGACTGTATTTTTATTGTTTGCAGGTGGTTTCTGTACATGGTCTTTGTTTTTCTGCTGGGAGCCATTTGTACCCGTCAGTCTCTCCGCTATGACTTCATGATAGCAGAGAAGGTAACTTGTTCAAATAACCCAGTGTAGTTTTATATAATGGTGCTTTCAAGTGGCCATCTGCCTCACTGAATGATTGAACTTTCCAAAGCCTAAGGAATTTGGGTACACATCCCTCGTAGAAATTCAGGGGGATTTTCCCATTGCAAATCTCAGTGCACAATTATTTGTATAATTTTGCATTTGTCAGCATGTCCAGTAATGCTGAATCTTGGCATAATCACCCAGCAATAGCTTTAAGAGCTAAAATATGCTAATATGGTCTAATGATAAATGCTGTATTTTATTCAGTGTTTCCTTTCTCTTTGGTGAAAGCTTAAATCAGATTGAAATCTCTAAAGAACCCTGCTGCCTATCTTTACTAAGTCAAGCAAAACTTACATTTCCACATCTAGTGGGCTATAATTGCAGGGCCAGCAACAGGATTATTAAATTTGAGACATTCCACGTGGGTGTATATACACGAGGGAGGTTTGCAGTGTTACAGGCAATGAACCTTATCATTTCAGGCCTTGAAAAAGAGAGCAAAAGATTTTGTTGTGTGCTGTTGTCTTACTTTAGATGGGATACAGAAGGGCTACATTTCTGTTATTCAGCATTATCCGGAATCATGGTTTCACCATATTTGACACTGTTTCTTGTGATTAATTTAAAAAGATGTTTGCCATTTATTTAATTTGTAGATAAAATGTAAATTTGAAAATCTGGCTTTGTTTTCTTTCTAAGTAATTGTAGCTCTAGAAGTCCTCCAGCCCCCCAGATAAGCTCCATATTATCGGTGTGGCTCCTGCTAAAGTCAAAAATCATTTCTGTTTCAGGGAAAAAAAGAATGAGCCAAAGGCAATGTCATTGTATGTTAATGACCTAGTAGGTGAAAAGTACAGTAACTAAAAGAATCAGCTTTAAATGAATCCACTGAAGAGACTGTTAAAGCTGTGGTTTAACTTCAAAACCCATGGGGTTGTGGAATGGATAAAAAATCTCACAGTAAAGAATGTGAAGATATTAAATAATGTTAAATATAAAAACCAACCAACCCAAGCCCCCAAAGAGCAAATTCAGTTTCCTTTTCCCTAGAATGGACCAAAACAGTGGTGCAATTCCAATATTCATGTTGCTTCTTTGAGTTATTCCAAGCTGCTTTAGATTTTAATGACTTTGTTTGAAGAGAGAGAGGTGGGGAGAGATTATTACACATCCGAATGCTCCCTTTCTGTCACTCACAGGTGAGCGAGTGTTTGGCTGCTTTTCTCCCTTACAATACTTGTTTGGTTTTTGAAACATAAAAATGAGATTCAGTAATTTCACTTCTAATGAGCTCCAAGTGCCAATTTCTTACAAAATATTCACACTCTCCATGCTCAAACCCCCCAGCAAATCCTTTCATCAACCTCGGTGAAAAGGACTCTTCCCCTCTTCCCCTGATTTGAATGCCAAGTAGTACATTTAAATGCAAGCATTTTTGGCAGCTAAAATAATATGTGGTATCTAGCACAACTGTTTGTGTCTTCCAAGTATTTCTCAAGGCAGGTCATGATTAGAGGAGAGGGAAGGGGAGATTCCCCATTGAGTCTCTGTCCGTTGATCTAGTGGAAACTGATAATTGCTTATCTTTGCCTCAAGTTTCTTCTGTCCCCCAAGATAAAATTCACAAGGCCAAGTGGACTCCATGGGGAAAATAAACGTTGTGGTAGGAAGTTTTGTGCAATCCTGGACCACAACATTAATTTTACGTGCCTTTACTGAAGAACAAGCATTTTATGGCTTTTTATCCAATCTCCTCTTTGCTCTGTGCAGATTTTATACCTGAGGAAAAGGCAAAGGTAGTTTGAATCATCTTTAGCCGTGTACATGTTTGTAATTCTTTCTAATAAAGCATGTGCCGCCTGACTTCAACAGGGGCAGAAGCTGGGAGGGACCATATTTGTTTAGACCTCATTTTCCATGAAAGGAGGTCTGGGAGCAAAGGACATGTGCAATGCAGGGGACCTGCATTCAGTGACATCCTCTGCCACAGATGTCTGTCTGGATCTCCAGCAGCTTGCTGCAATGGAGTATGGGCAGGATGGGTCTGGACTGAAATTTGGGGGTATTATCCCTGCCTGGTGTTTCTGCTGGTGTTACTCCCCCCAGCCTTGCCTTTCTCTGTGGCTGGCTGCTGGTTGTCAGACATGTATGGTCTTTGAGGACTGGGGGATGGATGAGGCGACCCCAGACCTTAGTCTGCTTGGCTGTATCTGCTCATGTCCTTACACCATGGCACCAGGAGCACTTCCGTTTCAAGGCTTTCTTGAACAGTGTTCATATTGTGGGGTTTTGTGTATTTGGGTGGGGTTTTTTTAGATATGCTGTCTGTGTTTGCAGCACTGAGGACCTGTGCAGAGGGACCCCAGTCCCCATTCTGTGTGATAGTCCATGAGCTACCCAACTTTCCCTCCATGCCTGTAGGAGATGCTCCCGATTTGAAAGGGTGCTCAATAGAAACCAGAAATAAATTCAGCCTTGTTAGCAATGTGGTTTTAAAGATTTAAGTTTTGTGTTGGCCAAAGGAAATTCTTTTCTCATTGAAGACAGGAAAATAAGGTCATTGTATTATATCCTTCAGAGCGTTTTGAGATGCCATTTGTTTAAGCGGCAATTTTGATTTGGTTTTACTGTGGGTTTCTTTCAGGATTGGTTTTCCCCTCTGGGACCCAGGGGTTTGCCTTCCTGTTTTGGATGGTTGGAAGCCTGGGCAGCTTTTCCTGTATGATGAGCACTGTATATAAGTGATCTCTCCTGAAATAAACTCACTTCCAGTTACTTAAGGGGAATCTAATAGCTGCTGCTTTGATGCAATTGCTCCAAGTGGCAAAGAATTTCTTGGATATGAGCTTGTCAAATGGCTCTGTCGGTACAGGATGTTCAGTATTAAATTACTTTTATGGGATAATTTTCCTGTATTAATTGCTTGCACTGTATATCACGGACCAGATAAATTGCTGCTTTCCCAAGGCTCACTCTGTTCATTTAGCAATGTTATGAAATACATGTGATCTCTTAAAATACATGTGTTTAAGACTGCCCGGGGGTCTTTAAAGAACAATATAATCAACTTCTCATTCTCTCTGCTTCCTCTAGGTATCCTTGGTGGGTTTCTTGTTTCTGCTAGGGCTGTACATCTCATCCCTGGCCTCCTGCATGGGAGGGCTATATGGAGCACCCAGAATCCTGCAGTGCATTGCCCAGGAGAATGTGATACCCAGGCTTGCTTTCCTTGGACATGGGGTTAGTCATCCTTTCTCTGATACTGCTGTCAAACCTTCACCTGAAGGAAAACTGGTGATTTGAGAAGCCAGGATGGCTATGTGTTTGTAGGGTGAGATGGGGGATCCATGAAATGCAGGGAGGGGAAGGCTTAGGTCCTGGTACCTTATGCACGTGCAGAAAAGCCAGGGAATGGATGGTTTTATTATAAAACCAAGAGGCCAGCTGCCTGCAGTCCTTTGCCTGCCTGTCCCTTGTGCTGCACTTCCTCTGTCCCAAGCTCTTCCATGGGGCTCCCATGCAGGAACAGCCCTGCTTCACTTCCAGCATCTCATTCACCCACCTCTGTGCTCCAGCCCTGGGCTCTGTCCTACCTCTGTGCATGGACAGCCCTTCCTGGATTGCCGTCAGTCCCCTCCCTCCCTCAGACCCACTTCTTTGAGATGTCCCCAGTAAAACAACTACTCATGAAACAGCTTTGCCCATGGGGAATTTTGCCAATGCGTTATTTATGCTGCTGCTGCCCCTAACCATGACTGAGGGAGGTTCCTAGATTTTCTCTGCCCTCCTGTCCAGGGAAGAAGCCTGAAGATTTTGTCCAAGCATGTAATGAAATGGATGGTAACTACCTCTATCTTTTTTTTCTTTCTTTTTCTTCTTCAATGCACATTTCCCTTGAGCTGTTCTTATCCTCCTTGGTAAACTCATAGCTGAGTATGTGACTAGTTGTGGTGCTGTGGATTCAGCCTGTGTGCAGTGGAGAAGAGGACACTTCTGTGTAAGATAAGGTGCCTTTTGAACACTATAAAATAAAACCAAACAATAGATTTGAAAAGTTAAGTTAGGGGGCTGCTAAGCTTGAGATATCCTTTGAAACAGTCTTGTTTTGAATATGACAAGAGGCTTTCCTTGTCCTCACAAATAATCCTCATTCATGTGAGATGTTCTACTGAGATCAACCAAAGTACCAGTCACTAAGGACTCTGTGGTCTTGGACTATACATTCAGCACAAACTACTTTTTATGTTCTTCTCTTCTTCTAAAAAGAAAGTAATGCCATCACTCTCAATAACCTGCAGTACCTCACTGCTGTCTCTCAGTGGCTGGGAAACCTCACAATGTTTTACTCCTTCAGAGCAGCTTGCAAACCAGAAATATTTTACTATATTGGTATTTCTGAATGTTTAAAATAGTTAAGTGTTTTATAATAATTTTCTATCTTTTCTTTATGTTTCTCAAAGTAATTTTCTAAAATTAAAGTCATAATAATAGCAATAATAATAACAAATAGTAAAAATTATAGGAGAAGCAGTTAACGACAGCAAAAGCTTCCATCTCCTGCAGGCAGTTGTCAGGTGATCCCAGAACAGGCTGTTCTCCACTTGGCAACCCTCATGAAATTCTCAGGGATGTACCAAACCTGACTGCAAAGTTGATTCCCTCTCTTTCTGTCTGTGTCATATTATCTGCTCTGAACTTTGCCGAGGCAGAGGGCCACGATGGGCAGGGCTCAAAAAGAGGTGAGAAATCAAAGGCAGATCACTCTTGCTCTTTCCTTCTCTCTGCCACCTTGAAGGTTGTCTAGATTGGCTTATGGATAGTTAAGTTTGCCTTTACCTATCTGTTCCACATCAGTTCTTCTTTTCTGTGGCTCAAGAAAGCACTGTGATCACTGTAACACCAGCTGATGGGAAGGACAGGAGTGTTTTCTGCGCAGTTAAACCTGAGGTTAACTTAGAGCAGAAGAAAAAGGAGTAATTTCCATTTGAGCTTTGTGTTTATTAAAGAAGCACATGAAGTAAGAGAAAACCTAAGATGTTTTGTAAGGTCCCTTGTAAGATGTTTTCAGTGATTTCTTTATGCACAAGCTTCTTGGGTACTGAAATGTCAAGAGAGTGCTTGGCCCAAGGTAGGGCATGTTAGACTTGGGATTAAAGCTCATGAGCTGAAGGGTCAAGTCTTTTCACCCCTGATGCCCTTTGCTTTGTTTCTCTTTTTCTCCTGCTTTCCCTGCCTTCACCCTACCCCAAGGAGGAGAGCAGGCAGTATTTCTCCTGGCTACCTGCCTTCTGATGCATTCCCAGCATTACTGGGGGCTGACTCCTGCCTTCCAGCATCCTCAGCTGCCTAACCTCTCTGCTGCTTTCCTCCTGCCACTGGGCTGAATGCAACTCAGAAAACCCCAAGTGCAGAGGCTCAGCAGACCATGGATTTAGCTCAGCCTCATGTCAGGGCAGGGCCAGAAGCTGCTGATGTGAAGGTGGCACTGCTCCATAGAGGCAGAGCTTCTTTGACTGTGTCTGGCAGTCAAAGCCTTTCCAAAGGCAGCATAAGGGAGCCTTGTAGGTAGCCAGTGATAGAGTCTTGAAGAGAAATTAGAGACAAGCAGTTAACCCTCATTAATATTTTTATTGCCAGATGTCCCATAAGCCTCACATATCTTTCTGAAGGTTTATTGCTGCTTTAATGACATTGTTTTACGATGGAGATACGGAGTGAGAGTGGATGAATTTTTCAAAGACAAAGCTTGACTAAGGCTCGGAGGTGAGGTGGGAACTCAGCAGGTTTTGGCTTCCACTCTAAGCTGGTGAGCCTCTGCTTGCACATGCATGTGTGAATTTCATGACTAAGGGAGTGTTGCAGACCACCCAGGTAACCACCCGTGGCAGCTAAGCAAGTGGGAATCCTCAAAGCGAGGCTTATGGTTATTAGCTTTAAATGTAAGTTTGTTTTCTTTATGAACTAGAAAGGACCCAACAAGACTCCAGTGGCTGCAATTTGCTTGACGAGTCTCATCACCATGGCTTTTGTCTTCATTGGGCAAGTGAACGTTCTTGCTCCCATAGTCACCATCAACTTCATGTTGACATATATTGCTGTAGACTATTCCTATTTCTCAGTCTCCTTGAGCTACGACATTCAACAGAAACCTGACAAGACTCAAATGGAAAATGCTAGACCTGCTCACTCTTCCCAGCCTTTAATTTTCAACAAGCCCTCCAGCCGTGCAGCAGATGGAATAATTCAAAGCAGATCAAATGGCACCTTGCTGGAATTCTCAAAAGACATGGACCAGCTTTTTAAACCATTTCGTAGTGAGCCAGGTGCTTGCAAAAATGAAGAAGCCAAGAATTTAACCCAGAAGGTCAAACAAAAGAAGACAAAGAAGCCAGCCAAGCAGACATTACAAGACAGCTTTCTGCTGGATCTCCATCACGATATTCCCTCAGCTCGGTACGGCTGGGATGAGACCACAGAGCCCCACAGTGACACCTGTGAGGACCTGGCTAAGCAGGACTGTTGGTGTGATGCAGGTCCATGCTCATCATCCCCTGTGGATGCCCAGCGGAAAACCAGGCTGCTGGAGCAGGGAGAGCAGCTCTTCAGTGAAGTGCCAGCGCTCTCTGGCCAGAGAGGAGCAGGTAAGGGCTGTAGCAGATAGAGATCTCTGTGTTCACAGGAGAGTGGTTTATAACCTTAGTCCTCCTGATGCTTTCCTGAAGGCAGGTGTGAAACTAGCTTTATGCAGGGCTGTCATTCAGTGATTCATAGCAGTAATATCATTTATTCCAGGTGAGGGTAAGAGTTCATCGCAGTGCATCACAGGAGAAGTTCCAACGCAATTTCCTATGGAAGATTAATCACAGGAAAGCAGGCAGGACTATACTTACTGTAGGGTTGTTTACTCTGTGCTCATTATTATACACATGCATGCTTAACACTGCACATTAAAAGGTTTTGAGTATATCTTGGGATTTACTTCATCCTGGTGGGGGGGTAAGAGGGAGCTGTGTGAGTCTAAAATTGAGGCTATTAAAGTGCGGTGGACCCCAGTCAGCAGGAGGAGTCTGTAATTCAACATCCACAGCTAAGAGTCTGAATTTCTTTTGTTGGTGATGTGGGTATTTGATAACTGTGCATTTGCTTGGAGTTTGTCATCTCAGTGCTGTAGAGGTTTATCAGCATTAGTCAGTTAAGGTTCATAAACCCCCCTGAGGAGAAAAGTATTATTTCTTTTTTTTTAATCCCCATGAAATTAGGGAAACCGAGGCAGAGACAGGCAGGTTTGGCCTTCAGATGGACTCAGTACCAGAGCTGGCAAGTTGTCTTTCCTGTTTTATGGTTTTTATTTTCTAGCATTTCATATTTCATTTTAGAGGTTTCAATCTAACTCTGCCATATCCAGCTGTCCTCTGTTTATCTGGAATCTGGTAATGAAAGTCAGAGAAAAAACACCACATTATAGCTCCACTCTAATGTCTTTTTTTTTTTTTTTTTAAATCTTCTTTCTCCTGTGTTTTTTTTTTTTTGTTTGTTTGTTTGTTTTTTGTTTTTTGTTTTTTTTTTCCTGTAGAATTGTCTATAAAGCAACAAAATCCAGAGCTGGGAATTCAGCGGTTACCAGAATCCTTGTACTCCAGATTCTGCAATCACTGGGTTTCCTTTGCTGGTGTAAGTAGTTGTCTTTTATTTTGAGCACTGATTTGTGATTGTAGAAAACAGAAGAAAATTCATCACTTACTGCAGTGTAATACACTCTCGTACTTTAAAATGGCTTTTGATTCTAATATCCCAGGTCACTTGAATTAAGTACTCAAGGTACCATGCATCTAGCAGTTCAAATTCAGAGAAAGCGAGATGGTGTATTAATTAAAATCACCGCAACAGCAGTAAAAAAACCCAACCCACCCAACCCCAAAAGATCCACATTCCAAGACTGGCATCTTAGGACTTTAGAGGTGTGTGGCTGGCTGGGGAAAAAAAACAGTGTCCCTTTTTTCACTGTGTGCAAACCTGCTTTTTCTTGCTGTGGGATGGAGTGAGACATCAGCTTCAGTACTATGTTACTTTCATTTATGAGCCAGTTTCTGCAGGCTCAGGGTGGGGTTTCATTAGTGCTGACCTCTTGATACCAGCAGCCCAGCTGTGAAATTCCATCTTTTGAGGGAGGAAAGTGTAGCATTCCACCAGCATGTTGCTTTAAAGAATAAATAACTTCTAAATAACTTCTGTCTCAAGCTGCTGTAGAATTTAAGACATTTAAATTTACCTTGGAAAGATAGATTGTTGAGCAGATGACAGGAAAAGGGTCAGATATGCATAATGAATGAACCATATGGTCTTACTGCATGAATGGGGATTTCATGGCAGCGTGTAAAATATAACAAACCCACTCAAACGACACATTGGACCCTTTAGTTTAATCCTCAGATGGAGTTTGACACTTACTTTTCAAATTTGCTGCTGCTGCCAGCAGCTAGCTCCTGGTGAGGGGTCCCACTGGACTGCAGCACTGGGGTGGGATGGATGTGGAGGCTTCTCTCTAGTGATGACATCTTTAGAAGGCCGCACATGGATGCTGTCTCTGGGCTTGGTAACTAAGGGGGTTCCCAGGCACATGTCATTGAGGAGCGGTCAGCTCTCTGCCTTCGCAGGGGAACTTGCTTGTGGAAATGACTGACATGTTCATTAAAGCAGATTTGATTTCCTTTCAACTGCAGCAGAGCTGAGGAAGGATCAAAGGTGCAAAATGAAATCAAAGAAGCAAAAATCAGATACATTTATTCATCCTGACTCCTTTTCCCTCCGCTCTCTCTCTTAAAGTTTCACCAGTTGTGTCAGTCTGGACTCATTTAGAATCACAGAATCATAGAATAGTCAAGGTTGGAAGGGACCTTAAGATCATTTAGTTACAACCCCCCTGCCATGGGCAGGGAGGGACACCTCACCCTGGACCATGTCACCAAAGGCTCTGTCCAAGCTGGCCTTGAACACCACAAGGGATGGAGCATTTACGCCTTCTTTGGGCAACCCATTCCAGTGCCTCACCACCCTCACAGTAAAGAACTTCTTCCTTGTATCTAACCTGCGCACGCTGCTGGCTCATGTTCAGTTTCTCATAGACCAGCACCCCCAAGTCCTTCTCTGCAGGGCTCAGAGCTTTTTGAGCTCTTTCTTTGCATGCCTCTTCCTAAGCTTGCCAATGAAGATGTTACCCCTGCCCCCATTATTATGCCCCTTTAAGCCAAACTTAGCACCTGAGTTGGTAAGTCTCTGGGTACTCCTCTTAGAGTATTTCAAGCAGAGACCCATGCTGCCTCTAGGACTCAGGGTAGCTCAGTGAAAGCTACCTCCATGCTGCTGAAGATGACACTGTAAACCTGTGCTGTTTCTCCTTTTAACAGTGTGCCCATATGAGGCTTCTTATCACACAAGAACCTCATTACCAAGAAACCTCAGCCATGCCATACCAAGTCTTTTCAGAGAACACTGGATAGAAACGCTCTGCATGTGGCCAAAAGCCACACACTGTGGAATGTTTTGCAGGCAGGAGATGACATGGTTCCCCAGGGGTCCTGCTGCATCACCAGCCTCAGCCACCAATACCAAAGAACGTCCAACTACCCACATAGTTGCAGCTGGCATCGTTGTGCAAGGAGAGTCTCTGTTGCGTCCCATCCTGGGACATTATGAGGGAGATGCCTAAAAGGAAACACTCATAAGGATAATTCCAAGTAGCAGCGTCCTAGGTCCTGACTGTGTACGTCTCTTACACAACACTGCCAAGAAGACCCTGAGAAAGATGGAGATGCAGAGATGCCATTGAAGCACTGGTTTTATATGCATTTAAAACCAAGATTCAGCATTTCTGGAAAACCAAACCAAACCACAACAAACCCAGCATTTATTGGTGGTCTCATGAGAACTTGAAAGATCCAGCACTGCCTCAGTTCTTAAAGAATTTCTGCTAGAGTGACGATGAAAGCTCTTCTTGCCAGGTTGAGGAAAAAAATGCTCCCATGGCAGGGGGCTTGGAACTAGATGATCTTAAGGTCCTCTCCAGCCCTAACTATTCAATGATTCTATGAAATTGCTGACCCAGTGTCAGGCTGTGTCTGAAGGTGTACAGTCATCCGCAGGCACCTGCGCTACCAGCTCTCCTGTAGGGCCAGAGCAGGAGTCAGTGGAGCCACTGGGCTGTGCAGGAAAAGAACTGTCAGGCTGTCATTGCCATGTGAGCTTACAGACTCTGGGGTAACCCCAAAGCATGTCTTCCCAATAGGTGATCGTGTGTCTCATCATAATGTTTGTGATTCAGTGGATCTACACCCTTGTCAGCCTGGGTGCAGCAGTTATTGTGTATTTCTACATTGGCCAAGTGAGCCCAGGACTCCCCCTTGGTGAGTATTATTTTTTTCCTGTAGTATTAAATCTGCTTAAAAATTCATTAAGCTTTAATTTAACTTAATGAGGGATTGAGACTCTGATGTTTAATATGCAGGTGACACAGTGAATGATGAAGTTTTGTTTCATTGCTGGTTTTAATAAATTTTCTCTCTATTTTTATATTGGATTCTAACTGTAACTGACATTGGTTTGATAGTTTGAACATTGTGCTTATTGCTTCATTATAATGTACTTGAAATGGCAAAACAAGATACTAAGACTTAACAAGGGTGGCAGATTGTGAATGTGTCACAGCAATGAGAAAAATCTGCTGTAAATACGTTTTAATAAACTTAATCTAAACCCACCTGAGAAAAAATGGGAATTATGACAAGTATCTCATTAAATCTCAACATTCCTAACTGCAGAACAAGAGAGCCTTTTGATTCCAGAACTAAACAGGTTGACTACGTAGGGAATGTAATCTGGGAAAATACTTTAAGGCAGAGGGTGTTAAAAAGGTCTGTTCATGTGATCGGCTTAAACAAGTTCAAAATTAAACAGTGAAGCACATTCAGAAAGAATCTCATGAGAGCCTACAGCTTCTTTGCACAGCCATAGGAGGGGTTTGTGTTGGTCTGTGTCTCTGAAGGGAGAAGGTGATATGCACAGTGTGCACATACTCATGTACTTATGCATACATACATGTGTAGGTACACACATACATATGTAGGTGCATGCATCTGTAAGTACCTGCACATGTGGATGTGCAGGTTTTTGTCCAAGATGAGAAAAGTCAAAAGAGCCTGAGTTCATGTGCCTTTTAGGCAATGCAGAAATAGCTGCCCAGGTTTATTTAGGTGAAGGATTATTAGGCACCAGTTAAGTAGGCACTAGATTTTAAAACCCAGATGATGAGAAACAAAAAACTAGTTGTCACTCAGTAGCCATCAAAACACAACTCAACCATTCTCCTTCTACTCTTATGTGACTTCTTTTCTATGTATTTGTGTGGAATAGTAGAAAAGAGCTGAGATTGTGGATAGTTCTTGCTAATTTGTATCTTTTGAGGTATATCTAAGTTTTAACAAAATGTTTTGCAGGCCCACATATTAAAAAAACCCACAAATTATGTTTTCAGACTTTGGACTTTGCCTTTGTGTATTCATAGTATTATATCTCTGTTATATGCTTTTGAAATAGGTACCAAAAATGACTTAAAAAGAATTTCTCAGTCAGTATGTAGAGGATTTTGGAAGGTGATCTGAGAAATAGCAACATGATTAGATATTTTTTCTTGGTTTCTTTTGTACATGCATTCCCATGCATACAGTCAAACAATGCACAGCAAAGAAAAAGTAGAAATGAACCCTCAAAGTTCAGCCTGATTTTTATTTGGCTGTGAGTGAACGTTGTTTCGTGGTCACATGGCATCCAACAGTCTGTGAGCATGTTCTCCAAAGGACTGAATGACCTTTCTGTCTATAAAGGGTGGGAGACACTAGCTTGAGAGATGCTTTGGATTAAGGACTAGATGAAGACCTCTGGAGCAGAAATACTTTTTCTCCTCTCTTTTTCTCCTCAGCAGTCTAAGCCAGCAGGAGCTGCTGGGTCTCTAGTCTCCTCCTTGTCCCTCAGCACAAACTTCTGCTGCTTTTGCTGCCAGCTCTGGCACTTCCCTGCCCCTGCAGTGAGCCAGTGCAGGAAACTAGCTACAGTGAGATCAGAAGAAATCAGTGTTGGTATAATAAGCAAAGACAGCTCTCCATGGGGTCAGACAAGAAGGAATGCATGGTGAGACCACAGCCACTCTTGCTGAGATGGTCTGAGTGGTTCCTCTCTTCCACCTATCCCTGCAGTGTGAATGATATTCGCAGTCTGGGGAGAGAAAAGGTACTGCAGTGGGTGTCTATGCTATGTTCATGGCTTTATGGGAGTTTAACAAACCTTGGTCTGGGAAGGGATAGCTGTTCCCCATGTGAAATTTGAGTTAATTTCTTGACAATGGCTTAAAAGCCACAGTATGTGGGAAGACTGCAAGAGTGTTCTCACCATCATGAAATCTTTGGGTACTGAAGTCTTATAACAAGCATGTTGGTTTGAGATTTTATGCAAAAAATTCGGTGGTGTAATGCTATTATGAGAGAATTATCAGTGTACTGACTTCTTGTGCCTTTTCTCTGTAGGAGCAGCAGCGAATTTCAGCTTCTTTGGCTGGATTAAGTCAGTTTTGATCACCTTGTGCAGGTTGGTACCAGTCACTTGGCAGTGAGAAAGGTGGTGATTGTTGTTCCTGTGGCCCACTTATGTGCACAGAGAGGGGTAGAAGAATTGATTTGCCTATTACCTTAACCAGTCTGTCTGGTTCTCCTTGCATACTCAAAGTTCTTCTCACTTAATGGTAAAAATTACTCCTTGCTTTCATAAGCCTTGCATATGGCTGGCCATGTAAGTGACACAATCTCCTTTGTCTTGTGTGTGGACATGTCAGCTGATGTCAGGTATCTTGGTGCCTGAAGTTTTATCTTACCCCAAAAGGTCTGTGCTCAACCTCTATGGCTCAGATTGAACAGGAAAATCTGGTAGGAAATGAGGAATGGGAGATTCCATCTCTTCCACCACCATTTATTGAAAGTAAATTACTGTGGTAGTGGTGAAACATGCACTCATGGCAGCTGTGCTCAAGTTTCAGAGAGGAAATTTGGGAGGAAGCTGCAATAGCTATGGGGCAAAATCAGTAAACAAAGTCTTCAGTGAAGGAGCCATTCAGTATTGAGTTTGCATGGGACTGCAGTAGCTTTGTCTTGGGGTTTTACTTCCCTGAACCTTAAGAGTTTTGTTTGGTTGGATACTAACTAGATTTCTTAATCTGTTTTGATGCTATTAATTATTAATTCCATTATGTTTGTGTTTCCCATAGCAGGGCATGACCATCTCTGCCTCTGCAATGCAATGGGGTTTGAGGTTCTCAGTGTATTGGGTTGGGTTTTTCTGTTGCAGCGTGTCATCACTGTAGTAAGGACTACAGAAGATGAGCTGCCAGTCATTATATGTGCAAATCTGATGGCTCCTTTAAAATAAATGAAAGTCCAGGCACTTAAGTACATTGGCACATGCACGTTGGCACATGCCTGTCTTGCCAGCTTTTGCCTCTGCCCACAGTCCCTATAACATGGCCATGTGCCTTTGAAAACAGAGGTGGTTTGAGAGAAAAGCTGGGGCTGATGGGACCTCTCTTAGGTCTCTATGGCAGGTCATTTTAGTTTGGTGCAGCTCCTGATTGTTGGTATGCCTCAGCCCTGTCTCCTGCCCATCGTCAGAGGTTCCTCACAGAAGGCTGGTTGAGATGTGAGGCTTTGTGGACAATTAACTGTCTCTGGAAAAGACAAACTATTCCTTTTGGAGAGGCAGCGCTGCTTCTTGTGGGTAGAGGTGCTGTTGTCGCAGGGGGATTTATCTTACGGGTTATCAGACTGACACAGTCGTCAGAGCTTCGCTCAGTGCAGTCAATGAGGAACGATCCTGGCAAGGAGGGCTGAGCTGAGAGCTGGTGAGTGCCCAAGGCAGAAACAGACCCTATTGAGTCTCTCCTCATGTGCAATCTCTGGGTCATCCAGCCAGCTTGTTTGCCTTACCTTAATGCTCCTCCTCATGCTGGTACAAAGACAATTCTGGCTCTGCTTGGGGGTCAGGTGGGTCATTTTGAAACCCACCTTTGCTACACTGCAAGAAAGTGCATTGAAGTAATTTACAGGTTTTTCTTCTGATCTTTTTTCTTGAAATCCAGGCAAAGTATTTTAATGAATTGGAGGTAAAGGAATCCCATTAGATTGCAAGAGAGTTGGAGGCAACCAAGGATCCTTGACACCTCTAAGGCTCTTAGATGCTCAGTGAGGTCTGAATTGGTGCTACCAGCTCTTACAGTTTTGATTTGGAATAAGGTTTTCTTAAAATCAGCCTCTGGGACAAAGAAATTGCAGGAAGATCTCCTCTTTCATTTAAAAGAGTTACAAAAATAATTGTACATTAAAGTTTAGGAAACTCTAAGAAGTGTCTTTTTCATTGGTCCTATGATTCTATGATGAGAAATATTTCATGTTCCTTCTTCTGCACAGTGTGGAAAGTGTTTGCCTTAGCCAGCATCCAAAAAGCAAACTTACTTGTTAAGAAAAATACATGTTTTCCAGAGTTTGCTGGGGGAAGGGAGTATATTTTTTGTGTGCCTTCTAAGAAAAATGTTTGCAGAGTAGCTCTATGCCTTCCAAGGGCATTGGGAAGGACTTAGCCTCTTCTCGAAGTGCCCTGCCTTGTTTGCACAGTGGAGAGCATGACCGCTAATGGATGTCAAACAAGGGGTGATGTAGATGCTTCTGCTTCTCTGTTTGCAGGAGAAGGCCATCTCCCAAGGAGCAGATCGTGGTGACACCGTCCTTTGCAACAGTTGGCATGGCGACCACACAGCTCACCGAGGAGAATGCAGACTTCGCCTCACGGGACCGCTATCACCAGTCCTCACTTATCAGCAGAGAGGAGTTTGAGAATCATTTCCATTAAAGGACACAGAGAAGAAATCAAGCTGTCACTGTCACTTCAAAAAGCATTTAGAAATGCTGATTGCTGCCACAGTGCCATGTGAAATACTCGAATATATATGAAAAGGATGTGAATAGTTATTGATATATTCAAGGCTTGTTTGTTTATGCGTACTACAACCTCGCTGAGTTTCAAATCTTATCCAAAATGGGGAAAAAAATGCAAATGAAAGAGCCAGTCCAGGGAAGTGATGACTTACTGAGGACAATATAATCCTGTTAAAGAATTCAATTATAAGCGCTATTGAGCTCTAAAGATCATTGCCGCTATAAAAGCGTGCAACACCCCATTTCAAATGTCCTCTGGGTGACCAAGGACGCTTTATGCCTGAGAGTGGTGACCTCACCAGCAGGAGCCAGTGCCCCATACCCAGCTGTGTGCCATGGATGGATGCAACCTTCCAGGTCAATTCACTTCTCCTCTCGGCATGAATTTGCCTGCTTCTAATACAGTCATTTTCTACCTCAGCATTTCAATAACAAAGGTCTTAGAAACTACTTTAAGGCATTAGACAATAAGCCAGAATCAGTGGCAAGTGATTATGAAATACATTCACAACTGGAATTGCACATTTAAATGCAGCAATGCAGTTTAATGACCTCTACTGTAAAACTGTGAAATGATGTCTTAGCAGCTGTTCGTAGTGATTTCCCACATCATTTCGGATGTGATACCTGGGACCTGACAACATAGCTGGGTCCAAATAGAGTACCTCCTGGCTGAAGGAATAGATGGCTCAGAAGTGCCTTAACAAAATATGTTTGCCTCATCTTTGCTTAAAGCCTATCCCGTAATGAGCCCCTGCAAGGAGCCATTCCTCCTGCTGAAGTGGTTTGGGATTTGCAGAGATTCACATGGGGATGCTGCAGGATTTCCTGTGCAGACCTTAGAGTGTGTGAGCAGTTGCTGTGGGGCAAGGTCTAAAAAGAATACCCCCATCACTATCGCTTCTGCTTCCCAGGGAAAACCCCCTCTGTTGAGAGCTGTCCTGCCTGCTGGCAGCAGTCTTGGCAGAGACTTACAGAGGTGAGAGAGAAGGGTCTGGGTTGAGGCAAGCCGCAGCACCACAGATCAGTTCTGATGCTACCAGGAGGGGGAAATCGCTGCCTTTCCCTTCATTTCATCTCTAATTGTTTCAGCCTTTAGATTATTTTGATTATTAGCTTATTTATTTCTCCTTCTGTGCAATAAAAGCTTGAGACAGAAGGAACTTCTGTTTGTGCTTGCTGTGGTTGCACTTGATGCCTTTGAACACCATTCCACTTGCCAGCACTCGGTGCCCTGGTGTTACCATCCATGGGGGGGCCCTCTCCTTCCCATCCCGTGGTCTGACCAGTTGCAGCTTTGGCTCTTCCAGTTTTCTTATAGAGGGAGGCAAAGGAGACTTTCTGCTGGGATGAAGAAGAGAGCAATCCTGGTGTACTGCAGAAAGTGGACTAATTTTTTTAAGGTTGCAGGTCTTTTACTGGGTGTTTCTAACCTTAATTATCTTGGTAGAGGCAAGAAGGAAGTTATGCTGCGTGTCCAGCTGAACCATTTCAAGTCAGTCATTCTGTGTTGGAAACACTTCTTCCAGGGTTCTTTATTTCTATTGCCTTTTGCCTTTGGTTTCCAAAGAATCTGGATCTGTTGTGGGGATGTGGCTTCATGCTAAAGCTTCCCCTGGCTTCCCTGAGACCAGTGGCTCCATCGTCCTCCCTGTGCTTGTAGCATTCTCAACCTTGGCAGCTACTGCTGTTGTGCAAACTTCAAACATGCCTTGGTGCTGATCCACTGCTGGCAAGCTTCATTGTGCTGTGTTATCCCCTGTTACAGTGTGATACACAACCATAATGCCATTACTGTAAAATCTGGTATTTCATAAAGTCCTGTCACATTAAAATATTGTGGGGTGCCTTCCCTCCTAAGGCTGGGATTGCCCAGCCCCACATTTCTGTATAGCTTGGACAAAAGAAAGCCCCAGAACATGGTATGGAGTGATTAATGGGCAGAAATTCCTGGGTTAACTTCTTTGTTAGCTCCTAAATAATTTAGTTCCCTTCTTAAAGTAAGGCAGCAAACAAGAGATGTAGAAGAGGATGGGGAAGATTCCCTTGGCCATGTAGCTGCCGGAAGAGCTGTGCTGGTTGAAGCCAGATGACTTTGGTGGTGGGGAGTGTGGGAGTGTTTGTCTCTCTGATGTCATGGTCCCTGATCATTCCCAAAACTGGGATGTGATGCGCCAGAAATACAAGCAGCTTCTCTCCTGGTCTAGAAGTATTGGGAAGGTGCCCCACAGCTTTGCTTTCCGTCAACTAAGTCTGCAGCAGCTGTCCCCTTCCCCTGCCACCATGGTCCTGACTCCTTAGCTCCAGCAACCTTTTGCATCTGAACATCCTCTGGAACAATTTTGGTTGTGACTGTTCACCTGCGCAATCTCTGCTGGCTGCTGGAGGAAGGCACCATGCTGTTCAGGGGCCCAGTGAGAGGCTGTCCAGGGGGTTCTGGGGTGCAGGATGGTCCATGCCTCCGTATTTTTGGAAAAAGGCAGTCACAGGGCTGGCAGTGTGGCCTGGCAATAGCTGCTATGGGGACCTGGCAGCAGAGGAGATGCTCTGCAGAGGTCATAGTTCTGGGGAGTTCTGATCTTTGTGCTTCGTGTGCTGCTGCTGGAGAAACTCTGCCACCTCCTCTACTGGCATCACCAACACAGCAGGAACCAGCTCCCTTCACCACCTGGTATGTATGGGCACCTGGCCCTTTCCTCCCATTCTGACGGGGAGGAATGCATTGCATAGGGCTGGTTTCCTTCTGCTGTTACAGGTTATGAGTAGAGCAGCTTTCCTCTTTAATGCTTGGAAAGGGACATGCTGATCTTTCCTGAAGTGTTAGCTCTGGTGTAGTTAACGGCAAGAGGGGAGGGAAGCCTTGTTTTAGCACCAGTAATCCCACAGACTGGGTAACACTAGAGACTTGATGAGTTAAAGCTGATAGGGGTATGCATGGCTTTGCACATCAAGCCTTTCCAGCAAGAAAAGGCAGTTGCATTGCCAAAGATTGGGGTGTCATGTCAAAAATGTCAGTTGTTTCTTTAGCACTCTAAATAAATGAGTGAAATTAGGGATAGGAATCTATCAGCTTCACACTTAGTGATTGAAGGGAAGAAATATAGGTGGGGATTGCTGTTGTGAGTGGTAACATGATGCTTTCACCCCTCTGTGAGCCAGGCTGATGCTGGCAGATGCTGAGGCTTTTGTGAAGCTTCAGGTTCCCCGAAGGAAGGTTTGGGACCTAGCTTTGAGCATTGTATGTCAAGTATAGGTTTCAGTTTGGTTAATGTCATTATGAAAAGGCCCCCTTATCTCCTAAGCCATGTAAGTTTCATTATCATCTGTAATTATTTTCCTTTCAGTTGGAAATTTGATTTTTTTTTTTTAATTATGTGAGAAATGAAAAGGTTTTGCAGTGGTTCAGGGTCTGAAAACATTAGTTTTTGAGAGAGATGTGGATGTAAAACCTCAGTTTTGTTCCTTTTCTGCGTTAACAACACTGTAGATCAGTGGCTCTAGTTTTGACGGCTTCCTTTGCAGAGCACGCAAGCACAGAAGGCAGGGAAGGATTAATATTTTATTATATGCCTTTCAGTATTGCCTGAAAGCTCATGCTGTGTTTGTGATCCCGCAGCACAAACAGGTACAAAATCAGAATCTTCTGCCTCAGAAACTTGCAGCACAAACAGTTGTTGTGGTTTAAGCCCAGGACAATAGCCAAAACTAAGAATGAGCATGAGGAAAGTGCAGTTTTATTGTGATATTGGCTGTGAGACAGCTCCTCAGTTGCTATAAGTTTTCATCATTCCCCTAGGTCTGCCTGTGTGTCCCATTAGGACTCTACATGGGAGAACCAAGCTCTATAACCTAGCTCAAACCCATCGTTTTTCTCTTCCCTCTTGGCTTTTTCTTAATCTTTGAGTTTCCTTGGATGGTCTTTGTGGTGTACACTGGCCAAAAAAATCACACACCTGCCATGATCATTTATTCACAGCAGATAGTCATGACCACAGTGCTGAAGTGGCAAAGAATGCTGACAAAATATGAAATTATGCTTCTGCTCATGGCTGAATTCAGGCACAGGGCTCTCTGTGCCACATGAGCTGGTATGCTCTCACCCATGCACCTCTGGTTCAGACAAGCAGAGTTCCTCAAACAGCATCATACTTACACCTGCAAAGGCTAGAAGAGATTTGCTGAATCACAGGAGCCAGCCTAGGATTGACATTTAGGTTAGTGGGAAATTGAGGTTGTTTGAATTATTGCCATTGCATGGTGAACTTCAGAAAAAGCAATTACTGGGATAAAAGAGAGAAAATTTTGTAGGCAACCTATAAATTGGGTAAGTTCATACAAAAGTGGTATATAATGGACTTATTTACATTCTGCAGTAGTGGGTTGCTGAGACCTAAATTTGGCGTAGCATCATTTAAACCCCAGTTGAGGTGAAACCTCAGAAGTAACAGCCCTAAAAGGTCTGTATGAGAGGCAATAGCAGCAAACTCCAGGCTAGAAATAAATAGCTTTAAAACCCATATGGCACAAGACGGGCTCGTTCCCTTTCTGCCTTCTTCTCTTCATGTTTTTTTTTCATGTAATTCTCATGCACGAACCCCTCAGCACCTGGGATTTGCCCCCCTCATGTGAGAGTGAATGGAAGCATGGGTGCACTCACAGAAACAGCGGTCAAGGAGTGAACCTGTAACATTATCTGATCCAAATGTTGCTTGTAAACTTTGGTAGGGGCTTTTTTTTTCTGGATTTTAAGGGGGCTGCTGTGCAGTATTTTGCTTAGCTCTAAAATGGCCTGGTTTTCCTTGACTTGCTCCAAACCAGAACTGGCTGAAAGGAGTCCTAAAAAAAAATAATAAATCTCAAATTTAGAATAGCTTTTTTTCCCAGCTAGATTTAGATGGCTGATTTTTATTCCCCCCCCCCCCCAAATACAGGATTTATTTCCAGTGACAGGATTCAAAACACGACATAATTTTAATGTGTTGTGCATTTTGCTGTGAGTGATGAGAAGAGATCACAAGACCTATATCCATCCTGATCTCCAAATGTCAAGTATCCGGAACAAACTGCTTCCAACAAGGCAAGCAGTTCTTGTAAAGATAAATCAATAAAAAAACACACACCCCCCAAAAAAAATTCAAGTAAAATTGTCAGGTACTAAGTGTCTTTTGGATGATTAGGATCCATTAGTGGATGGCTTACAGCATTGAGAGGAGATGGGGAAGGTAATTAATTACTTGGGAACTATCTGTCCACTTCGGAAACTCAGGACTTTTAATAACAAATTCCAGGAGTAGAAAATATTCACTTTGTACCTTAATTCATCATCAGCTTAAAACTTGTCTGAAGTTTATGAGCCGGATCCAAGTTTTGGACAGATCTGGGCTGAGTTTCAAGGGAGCTGCAGGAGTTTAGCGACATTGGCCAGGGCAGCGAAAACCTCCTATAGAACCGGAGGGAAGGGACCGGTCAATGTAATCCTGACAAAGTGCTGCAGAGATGCCTCTTCTGTACAGGTTCTTGTGGGTTTGGTGATTTCAGCCCAAAACAATGCAGAGCTGGGCAAACTTAGTCACATTTCTAGCCCCTCAATGTGGAAAATGGAAATCGGGGTGAAATAAAAAAAACACTGTTTTTCCTCCCCCAAAACAAGGTTGGGTTTCAATTAATCACTGTGCAGTATCAACCTTGTTTTATATAGTTATGTTAGAGGCTTCCTATGCTGATGAGGGATTTGTTTGTTTGCTTGCTTTTAACTCCTTTGTGTATCAAATGTGCTGGTTGCTTTCAGGTGGAAGAGTTGAATGCATTTTGTACATAATTCAGGGAGACATTTGAGGTCACAGCCTTTATCAGGAGGATGCTGTGCCATTATTTTATATCAGGCTTTGCCTGGCCCATCCAACTCCTCAGGCACGGTTTCATGCATTTAAATTTCCCATTAGTTTCGTGCTCTCAGAGAGGGAGGGGAGCAGCCCTCGGCCCAGACCTGCCCTGTAACCAGTATTAGTAGGATGTGGCAGTGAAGCGTGCAATCATGCCACAGGGATAAACAATTCCAGCACCACATGTGGAAAAGCCAAGTGCCGGTGGCCTTCACTGAGTGCTTGTGTTCCAGCATAGCCACTTTCATCCTTTGACGGTTTCCCCGTATTTTCATGTGGCTGCTGGAGCTGGAGCTCAAATGTACCAGTTGTAAATTGACTTCTTCAGTGCAGGGATATTCCTTATGAAGTGATGAAGGTAGGAATAAAATAACATGGCAGGAAAAAAACACAGTACCTTTACATTTACAGGCACTAAACCTTGGCAAATTAGGCACCTTGGTCAGGGAGGGATTGCATTTGGGAAGTCCAAAACTGGCTGATTCTTGGTGTTTCCTTTCAAAGTGTTTGTGAATAATGTGCTTCTCACTAATGGAATCATGATGGAGAGGTGAGAGATTTTTTTTCTGATGGTAAATACTGGTATAAGTGCATGGGTTCACACTGTGGGGCTTCTGCTGGGGCTGACAAAGGCATGTGCGTCAGAGGCTGCAATGGGCAATCCCCAGCCCCACCAGCCAGCTCGGTAGTGTGTCTTCTCACCTGTATTTTGGTGGGATGCATCTGGTTCAAGGGCAGCACAGGGCCCTTTGATCACTATTTCCCAGTGCTGGCTGTATGTATGGGCATATGGTCCTCATGGTCACCCCTGTTGTGGTCACCAAATGCCTTGTTTGATTCAGAAATGCAGTGTTATGGCTGCTCTGGCAGGCTTAATGGCAATCTGGGAGAGGGTCTTAGTTCCTCTTCTCCCAGAGAGGGTTAATCTGGGTCTTCACTGCTTTTATAGCCAGTGGCATGGTGTGGTGGGTCATGCAACAGATGCACCATAGGGGCACGGAGAGATGGAGCCATTTAATATGGTTGGACCAATCCCAGGCACAGCTACAGGTTGGGCAAAGAAGAGATTCAGAGCAGCCCTGTGGAGAAGGACTTGTGGGTGTTAGTCGATGAGCTGGCAGTGTGCGCTTGCAGCCCAGAAGGCCAACTGTATCCTGGGCTGCATCAAAATGAGTGTGACCAGCAGGTCGAAGGAGGTGATCCTGCCCCTCTACTCTGCTCTCGTGAGACCTCACCTGGAGTATTGTGTGCAGTTCTGGTGTCCTCAACATAAAAAGGACATGGAACTGTTGGAACAAGTCCAGAGGAGGGCCACGAAGATATCAGGTGTCTGGAGCACCTCCTGTATGAAGACAGGCTGAGGAAGTTGGGGCTGTTCAGCCTGGAGAAGAGAAGGGCTGCATGGAGACCTCATAGCAGCCTTCCAGTAGTTTAGATTGGATGTAAGGAAGAAGTTCTTTATTGTAAGGGTGGTGAGGCACTGGAATGTGTTGCCCAGGGAAGCTGTGAATGCTCCATCCCTGGTGGTGTTCAAGGCCAGATTGGACAAAGCCGTGGATGACATGGTTTAGTGTGAGGTGTCCCTCCCCATGGCAGGGGGGTTGGAACTAGATGATCTTAAAGTCCTTTCCAACCCTAACTATTTTATGATTCCATGAATATGGACACTCGTTGTTCTTTCAGTAATGTTTGTTTTGTACTTGCCTGCTTCTGTTATTGCTCTTGATGTGCCTGTTGAGTAAAACAGTAGAAATAATTTGTTGACACTTTTTTTTGGAAAAGCATTCGATACTGTGCTTCCTTCTGGTTGGATTTACAGCTTGGGAGGATGCAATAAGAGTGGGGAGCTGCTATGTGGCTTAGATGTTGGGGGAATCTCTTGGAAAAGGGGAAAAGAGAGGGATGAGACCTCTAGTCTTGGTGTTAGACTCTCAGGCTTGAGAGTGAATGGACACAAGAGCATCCATTTCATGTCAGGGCTGGGTTTGGTTTTGATTTGCCCCATGCAGCCCTGCTGGGGTTTCTCTGCCCCTGCTGCCTCACCTGTCTCACATAGGTAAAGGGTGTAGGAAAGAGTTGGGTTTGCTTGCTGACAAGACTTTTGTTTAAGGGCTAACAAAACTGTCTGAAGAATCATAGTTTTTACTGGCAAAACTTATTATCTTAGGAATCAGTAACATAAAGTCCTGCATTTCACATATAATGACATCCCCAAGCTGCTGCTCTACACATCCTGTGCCATCTCCTAAAGTATCAAAATATTTCACAGCTCTTCACCTGAGCTTCAACTCAGTCCCGTGGCATGTTACTTGGCTGTGTATTGGTCTCACCATTTTATCAATGAGGAAGCTTTTTTTTACACAACCTATTCCATACAGAATGGATGAGTACATTGACATAGGCTGAAGGAGCCTAAAGATGCCCTGCATGGTGGTAACTGCTTGTGCCTTCTGGGCCACTTGGGTCACACCATTTGTCAGGACTGGGATGCTTACTCATATAATTAAAGTGTCATTGGGCTCTGTTGGTGTTTCATGTCCCGAACTGACATTAGCTTGACTTGTTCCTTGAGTTTAAGCAAATCTGAAGCAAGAAGATGCCAAAAGTTACAGGAAGTAGAATGGGTGGATAGAGGAATGCCTCGAAGGGAGGAAAGCCCTTTTCCAGGGCTTTCATCTATGTTTATGAAAGCATCAGAGTGAAGGTTTCCAAGTGTGCTTCATGGCAAAGCTGTGCGGGATGGTGCAGAAAGCACCTGCATGTTGAGAGAAAAGCATAGGTCCAGGGGATACCAGGTCTTGTGTCTGGGTAAAGCAGAGGTCATTAATATGCTGGTGTGGGCTCATCAGTGCCACCTTTTGGGTGGAAAGAGGCTTCCAGGAGAGTGGGTTTATTGGCCATGGACATTGTGTTTGAAGGGAAAAATGGGGAGTGGGTCTGCAGACCATCTTTTGTCCTTGGCTGCGGTTATCTGGATGCAGTGTAGCATCACTTGTCACACCCCTCTGAAAGGTCAGATTCTTTTTTGCTTGTGGAAGTGAAGCCTAACTCTGAAATAGCTCAAGGGAAAAGCAAAGGGCCCACGAGAGCCTCAGGAGAGGATGGGTTTCTGTTCCCTGAGGAGGGTTTGCTCTGCCGGGACCCTAAACCTGGCACATTGTGATGCCAGCAGCCTCAGCGAGGCCCGACCTGCTGCTCCGTGGTGTGGTCTCTTGCAGAATCAGGAGCATGAAATTATGAGAGGGAATTTCAGAACAATGAAGGGAAATCCTTTGCCTCCCATGCAGCCCAGGCTGGGAAATTCACCATGGCAAGAAGCTGCAGCTTCAAACACAGCAGTTGGCGTTTAAAAGAGAGCAGGTTAGTTTTGTAACCAATGAAAGATTTTTAAGTAAGCTGGCAAGGACTCGGTATCGATGGCAATTCAGTTTGGGGCTATCTAATGCTCACCACACTCACCTGGAAAGAAACTTCTCTGTGCGGAGCACTGCACACCGTCAGGTTTTCATCTGCTTTAGAAACTGCATTGATCGAAGACAGAAACGTGACACAGGACGCAATAGATCGATCGCTGGCTTCGTTCCCCCGTAGCTCAAAAACGATTGCGGGAGCGTAACGGAGCCCATTTCCCCGAAGCCCGGTGCAGGACCCGGCCAGGCAGTGTTTGGGACGCCCTTCTTGCAGCCGGGCTGGGTTGTTTCCGCGGGCACCCCCTGACCTCCAGCGCCCCTGGGGCCTGGAAAAAGAACAGGGCAGCGCTTCCCTGGATAGAGAAACGCCTTAGTGCGGCAGCTGCTGCCGCGGAGCGATGCGCGGAGAGCGGCCGTGCGGGAGCGGGGGAACGCAGTCCGGCTGGGCCGCTGCGCGGGGCGCAGGATTTCCGCGCTGTGGGCATTTAAACTCGGTAGCGATAACGCTGTGCGCTAGGGCAGCTCCTCGGCGGTTTGCGGCTCGGGGTGGCGGGAGAAGACCAGGAAAAATAAAGTAAAAGTGAAAATAATTTAACTAATGGTAACGATGCTGCTGCTGCTCGCAGCCGGGTGAGGGAGAGGCCCGCCCGACGGCTGCGCGGGGCGGGAAGGGGGGCCGACGGGGTGGGGGCATACGGAGCCGGGCCGTGCAGTGCCGAGCCGAGCCACGGCTGGGTGATGTCAGGCTCGAGGAGGAGCCTCCGCCGCCTGCCCTTTTACTTTCGGGCGCCGGCACTTGGCTGCAGGCTGCCGCTACTGCTGGCAGGGTCCCCCCCTTACCCCCTCCGCTATGGGCACCCTACACTTTTAAGGCCGGGGCGGCTGCCCTCTGTGCCGCCCCGGAGGGGTGGGGGGGGTGCGGCGGCACGGTGAATTAGTTAAAAATCCCTATTTACGTGGTTATTCATTGCCCCGCTCCGGGCATGTGAACAACCACCCCCCTTTCCCCTCCATCCACCCCCAGCGCCATGCCGGCAGCCTGCACCCTGCTGCTGCTGCTGGGGCTGGGGCCGGTCCTGCCGACCGGGTCGCTTCCCCTCGCTTCCCTACGGCGTCTTCCATCTCCTCCTCCTCCGTCCCGAAGCCGCTTCGGCCGCCCTTCCTCGCCTCCCGCCGCGGGACACGCCGGCAGCCCGGGTGAGTGGCTCATAGGGATGGGGATGGGATGAGATTTGGTCCCGGCGGTGGAGGGTGCGCGGTATCCCACTCACTCTCCACTGCCTCACGACCAAGCCTTGCTGAGCATCCCTCTCCATTTTAAACCTTGCCTTTAAACCTTTAACTCGAAGGTCAGCAATGGAACTTCATACAGGAGCATGAGGAAGGTGCTGGTGGGTACCAGAGCACAGCCAACATGCAGTCACCCACCAAAATGCTTTCCAGGTGGGAAACTGGTGGCTTCTGTAGGTGATCTTCCTGAGCTGTCTACTGCTCATCTACAGACATGCCCTCATCTCACCTTAGTTGCTGTCCCACATGCAGGTGTGAGGACAGACACCATCATCTCTCTATAAATACCTTTTCTCTCTGCATCGCCTACAGATTGTCAGATTAGTCATGTGTGAAGTAACGTTTTTCCTTGCATGCCACATTTACAGTGTCGTTATCAGGAGTGATGAGTAGTTTGGTGCTTTATGAATGATGCTGAATTTGGTTTAAGGACAGGATAAACCATATTTTTTCCCAGAATAAGCAGGGCTCATTTCAAGTGTCAGCCAGTAAACTGGTTCACTTGCTCGCCAAAGAAGACACATGGTGAATGGTGAATTCTCAATGAGTTTGGAAAGCACTGGGTGTCTGAAGGTGGTATAAGGAAATCCAATACACCGAATTAGTCCTGTGTACTTTTAAATAAGTTTTACTTTAAATAACTTTAAATAAGTTTTAGGATTTGTTTGCTTGCCTGGGCTTGACCGTCAAATTTTGTCTTTTAATTTCTGATGTGGAAAGAATATCATGCTTTGGTACTCCGGGTTAAGTTTACTTTCATGGAGCTGTATGGTTTCAGGAAACGTGACAAAACTACATTTATAACATTTTAGTTTTCTTCAGGAAACCCAGGATGTGCCTTTGTAAGATGTATCCACACTGGACCAAAAGTGTAGTTGAGAATGTCAACTGGAATGTACCCTGCAGTGGACTAGAAAGCTCCTAATGAACAGTGTTTGTGTGAGAGCAACCTGGTGACTAGGATACTGCACCAAAATGAAGGAGCTTTGGGTCTGTTCCCAGCTCAGGCACTTCATTGTGCCACTCCAAGTGTCAGTTTACCCTCCAAACAGGGAGAGAATAATGCTGTTTTACCTGCTATCAACCTTGTGAAGATAAAATCTGCAACTTGCCACCAAAGTGTTCGCCTATTACTTGATGAGAGCTGTGCAAATTCCTCAGTGGACAGAAAAAACCTATTTAATTTCATCTCAGCTTTCAATCTGGCATCTTTTCCTGTGACCTTGATGACTCCTGAGAGTCAGCGGAGGAATGCATTTCCTTTGTTAAAAGTCTGAAAAGCTAGAACTATCTGTCCACATGCTGGAAAAGCCATTTGTCTGGCTGCCAGTGCCTGGACAACCAGCTCAGTGGAGGAGGCTTTGCTCGACGCAGCCTGTGCTCAGCAGCTACAGGTGCTCATGAATTATGTCAGCCCTATCCAGAAGGAGTGGGGGATGCATCATGGAGTGATAAATAGCCCAGCAGTAGCTCGCTCCCTAGCAAACAGCATCATGAATTACACTGGATCCTGACAGCTGCAATTCACTGGCTGTTAGCTACAGCTCTATGCTTGTCAGTCAAGGGAATTGTTTAGTGTTAGGGGAGCAGGCTGATGAGATCTCCTGAATCCGTCTCAGGTTGAGCTGCAGACGCTCGAGAAATCCATTTGTCTCATCACCGCTCCTGCCCCTCTGAGATGCTTTTCACCTTTGAAAGCACTTGCTTGAAGCAGGGCAGGAAGAGGTGGGGGGAGGAAGCATTTCTTGTGAGCCCATTACTTGTGAACGTGGAAATGAAGATTACACCTCTGTTTGAAATGAGTCTGAGGTTAGGCAACAAAAGCCCTTTCTCAGGCAGGCTTAGTGAGCAGATGGTGAGGCAGGGGGTATAGAAATGGGACTTTTGAGTCTCTCACAAAGCATGGGGTGAGGGAGAGGGGCGGAAGGCAGGCTGCCCTGAGGAGCCTCACTGCCTTCCCGGCCTGCCTGCTCCTCAGACTACATCTGCTGCCCCTCCCTGCCAAAGCCACTGTGGGCTTGTCTGGTGAAGAAAGGAGGACAGATGGCTCTCGCATGTTCCTTAAAGTACAGGCTGAACCCAGGGGGAGGAATAGAGGGGAAAAAAAAAAAAAGGTGAAGTAGAAAGCAAGAATGGTGACAGTAAAGTTAAAGCATCATCAAACCTCTCCATGGAATCCCTCCTGGCAGCTATTTTACATGGGCACTGGGCTAGCTGAAGGGCACTGTCTGCTGCCAGCCTGGGTCAGGTGGGGGTTTGGTTACTGGCTTTGTCCTCCTGCAGGTCTCCTTACTTCAGATTTCCCATCTGTAACATGGGAATAATTCCAGTGACTCCACGGCGATATGGAAGTGGCACCAAACCCCTGACAAAGTCACTTGGGCTGGGTTCTCCCCGTGTTCCTAAAGTGTCTTTTTTCTCTTTACTTCTGACCAGCACTGGTGCCCTGCCATGCTGCCCAGCACAGCATGGGGCCACCGGCAATGAGCTTGCCCTGAGAAGTTGATCTACTTTTCTGTCATCTGTGTCTGTCCTTCTGTCCTTTCTCTCCTGTGCCAGCTGCCTTTCTTTTCCGCTTCCCTGGTGGGAGCCCTGGGAACAAGGTGTGAAATCACCTGAGAAGAAATCAGCTTAGCTTGCAACAGGGATTTAGGCTGGCTGCTAGAAGGAACTTTTCAGCCCTCATGGAAGGGCAGAATCATCTCTGTTTATTTATGTATTTTTATAATTTTCTATTTTTGAAACTTTCTGTATGAGAAAGAAGCAAATTTAGGAGCAAGGGAAGAAGATGCTGAAGATGGTTATTTGCACAGAAGTATGGTGTTGCTTGCAAACCTGCCTCAAATTTCACAGTACGTATTTGTGGCTCCTGCAGGGCAGAGGCCCAGCTCTCTGTGCAGTCATGCCAATGCAGAGGTGTAAGATGCTGCTGTTTAGCTTTGATATGATTACAGGTGGCTGTGGGTGGTGCAGGAAGGATGCTTCCTGCCCCTGCAGCACAGGGACAAGGAAGATTACCTCCGGTGCCTCCACATTGCTATCAAAAGACTGATAGGCTGCAGGGTTTTCCTGTCTTGGGCATCTTCGTTGCTCCTCTCTGTGAGCTGTAAATGGATTTGGTTGGTGTGCTGTGAACATGAAGTCCCTGGAGTTCTATAGATTTAGCTCTGCTCCTTTGGGATATGTAATTAAAAGAAAAAAAAAAAAAAAAAGGGAGGAAAAAAGCCTTTCAGAAAAGGAGGGAGATATGAGATCAGATTTCCTGCCTGTTCCCCATTCCAAGTCCCTGAAGGCAGCAAGGGTCTTGTGCTGACCAGCTGGATTTGCATCAGTCTGTAAAAGCACTCTGTGTGATATTTAAGTGGTAAATGAATATGGTCTAAGGGATAATTGTGTAACCTGGCTGGCAGGGAGCACATAGTGATGTGTATTGATTTACACCTCTATATGCAGTGAATGTGAGCTCAAAGCTGTGACCGGGGCGCAGTGGGTAAGGGGTTAGCTGCTGTACCTAAAGCCTGTTATCAGGCTCTCTGCAAAATATAATTTCCCCATAGCAAACCATGAGAGCCAGCCCGTGCCCACTCCACAGGCATTCGCAGAGCACTCTGCTCTGGCTGCAGAGGGATAATTTATTCAGAGGGATAATTTAATTTGCTTTAGTTTTCTCTTGTGGCTGGGAGGAGAAGGGGGACAAGGGTGGTTGCTGCTGTGTCTGTGGGAGCCAGTACCAGCCTTTGCTGGTGCAGAGGTGCCTTCCTTAGGGAATGTGTTCAGTATTGAAAGTTGCAGATACTGAGAGTTTAGAAGAACATGGGTTTTCTGGGACAACTTGCTTCCTTCACCTGCTCTTACAGATCCCAGTTTTGGGGCTGGCAGTGAGAAACCCTCTGTGGTTGAGCTTCTAAGCTGTTTGGACTAGTTGGCCGGTCCTGTGGGTTCCCCATTGCTGGTAGCTACATGCCATTTCCAAAATATGGATAGGTACAGAGTGGTAGGGCTCAGCTATGGCTGAGCCTGCTGCCTTTTAGCAGCACAAGGCACAGCATGCTGTACCCAGTCCAGCTGCCCCTGCCATGTGTGGGAGGCTCAGGGCAGGACTGCAAACCTCCTCAGTACCCTGGGGGATGATCTGGAGCTGGATGGATCATAGACAGCCACTGTAAACTCTCTGGGTTCTGGCTTTGCTTTCAGTGAGAATCAGTTTCAAGATTGTTCCTCAGGTTTGGGAGTGAGGAGGGTTGGGATTGGTCAGGGTCTCTACGCAGATGAACAGCACTGCTCATGCTTGGGCTGATCCACTCAGACATGCATGGAGCTTCTCTGGAAAGAGGCATGGCCAGATCCTGGCACCTGCTGGGGCATCTTCCTGCTGTTGCAATGGTGCAAAGAAGCTTTCCGGGCAGTTTGACCAGCCAGAGGGTCAGAAAGTGCTCCAGGTGAATTAAAGGTTGTTTGATTGCAATATTCCCCTGATAATGTCTGCAACAAGATTCATAGTCTGTAGCTTGTGAGCAAGCTCCTCACCAGGTTTTAATACCCCAACCACAGGCCCTGCTATTTACATTCACTTGAAGATGTAGGTCATACAATATGTTTTTTCTCTTTCCTGATCAGCTGAGCGTAAAAGGCAGAATCCAATTTTCAGTGGCAGCAGAACCGATTACAAATTCAAATTTTTATTTCTCTGAGCAGTTTTGCAACATTTGCATTATAACCTGGTGTTCCCATAAATATTAGAGGTTCATTTCCTGGGGTATTCACCCAGAGCAGATACAAGAAGGCCACAAGCACAGGCTTTGTGAAAGAATGTAGTCTGTGAGAGCCTATCCAGGGAAAATGGTTTTGTCGTACCTGGCCACCCTTCCCTGTCACCCTTTTCTGTAGGGGCGGCCATGAAGGAAGAT